ATGAGTGCTTTGCTTTTTCCTTAGATTAAGAGTTACGTGATTTTCGGCTTTATATGGATAAGAGCAAAACTACTATAATTAAAGCTATTATAACTAGAGCTGCTTTTACAAAGCGCGAGTCTAAACAAACGCCTAAGCCGCGACACTCGCAACGCAAATTCAAACAATCCTTTGATCTTGCGCTTTGTAAGCACAGAGTAAAAAACATTAATGTGGTCCGAGCTTTCCTTTCATTGACGCCCAACCGAATAATCACGACTAAAGGAGAATGACGCGTAGAAGGGGAAGCATTCCCCTCGGCTCCGCAAGTTGCATTCCAGACTTCCTCTAGTGTAATTTTACTTTAACTCAGTCAGAATGAAATTTACAAGTGTGGTTAGGTCTTCAGGTTAAGAGAGAAAAAGATAGGCATTTATATCGATGGAATTTGTACAGTAAGTAGCAAACGAAAGTGTTTTACGGACGTACAGGTGTGACATGATTTATAAACTCTTCAGCAGTTCATCGAGAACCAAGTTGGAGTCAACTCGCAAATGATTTACTTTTGACGAAAATGTCGCGGAAAAACCATTACTTATCGTACTCTTCCGTTTCCTAACGTTGTGCGCATCGTCGCAGCAAAAATTTAGATCCAAATTCTATTAACGTGAAGTTTACTCGCGAAATTACACTGGCGCAGAGCACGATACCGTCGCGTTTGTTTTCTGCCGTTGCGACCGCGCTACACGGAATCGACAAGATCGACGATTTCGTTGCGCCAGAGAAAAAGAGAAAACATCCTTCCCAGGGCAATGAATTGCAACTGAACGAAAGAGTAAAAAAAAAAGAAAAAAGAGAAAGAGAGAGTCGATATCGGACAGCGACAGCAGCGCGGTCGTAGTGTGTGACCGGCTTCGCGCAGTTGTGTTTAATCCGAATACGCCCATTATATTCCCTTTATTCGTTGTTCGATGTTAATCGCGTTGTTAGAGACATTGTGTGCATCCAGCGCTCAGTGAACTCTTGGGTCTGATTAGTTTGTACTTTTAAATCTCGATGAAATCTGAATGTATACATCAACCGGACCCAAGAGTTCGGTGAGCGCTTAATGAGTGGTTTAATAATGAATATATATATATATATATATATATATATATATATATATATATAAATAAATATATATATATATATAAATAAATATATATATTTTATATATATTATATAATATTATATTATTACATATATATATATATATATATATATATATATATATATATATATATGTATCTAACATTTCTCTCTCTCTCTCGTGATAAAACATTACATGTGACTATTTCTTCACGACGTCGCGACCGCGAAGATACGATACGAACGCGCATAATAACTCGTCGACTTTTCGTTTTTTCTCACTTACCTCCTCCTCCTCCTTCTCTTCCGTGAACTCCTCATTTTATTCGATTTGAAATAAAACCGCAGGGGAGAGCACTGAGAGTGTTCACGCAACTCTGTGCCGTTACGACCTGTTTAATTTCAAGCTCGGGTTACAACGTTGCCGGGTTACAACGTTGTAACCGTGCGTGTAATGGAGCGTGCTGATTGTATTGGTTCGATTAGAATGTACTTGTTCCACTATGGCGAACGGGAGAGCGGAAATCTATGGTCCGGCTATAATTTACTTATTCTACCGCGGAAGAGTTAGATCTATGGCCCGTCCGCGACGTACTTGTTCTACTGCGAGCAGAGAGAGAGAGAGGATATATGGCCTGGCTGCAACTTGCTTATCCAACTGCGGATATAACAACTTATGGAATATTAGCACTTGGGTCGTGACGACATTTCGCCATATATATGTATTTTACAGCAATGTGTCATAAAGTGCAACTTCACTCGTACACTGAGGGAAAAAATATCTGAAAAAAATGATGAACATTTTTTCGGTGGATACTAATGACTAATGTATTCACTTACAAATAAACGTACCCAAAAGGTATACTCCGATTTCTTTCTAATTTGACACAAATGTAGAAATATAAAAAATATTTAGGTTATATTTTTTCATTTTGATACACACACATACACACAATTTGAATTTCATGGGCAGTTTATAGCTTTGTAATATTCTCACTCTTATCATCAATAAGTACAATAAAAATGCATCAGAAATAAAATTGAATACAAGATATAGTTAAATAATTTTAACAAAATCAACATAGCTGAGACACGAACCATTTTAAATTTTTTTAGCCGAGATTCCAACCAAAATATTTCAAATCTGTGCTAAATTAGTCAAAAATAGTTCGAACTTTGGTCAAACCGAGAAATCTGGCAATTTTGATTAAAAGTTTATCAAAATCAGCATAGCTGAGACACAAACTATTTTAAATTTCTTTAGCCGAAATTCCAACCGCAATATTTTAAATCTGTGCTAAATTAGTCAAAAATAGTTTGAATCTCGGTCAAACCGAGAAATTATTTGTATAAATAATTTTTTTCAACTTTTTACATATTTTGTTTAAACATTTTATTATTTATACAAATAATTTTACACATTTGACTTCATATTCATAATCACCAACAACGCCTATATCTTATATTCAATATTTTTTGTACTTCTACATTTATGCCAAATTAGGACGAAATCAGAGTGTAACTTTTGGATAGGTTTACTTGTTGGATCCAAATTCTTTTATTTAAATAGAAGAAACAATTTTTCATGAAAAGCTTTCACGAGAAACTAGAATTTTATTATCGTTTTAAGAAAATGTATATTTTCTTATTTGAGGAATATTTTATACATTTGCTACAAGTAAATATATCAGTATCTGCGGCGAATAAATGTTTAGTATTCCTTAGATATTTTATCTTTCAGTATATGCACGAGCAATAAAACAACAAAGATATATAATGATAGTAACAACGCCGACGAAACGAGCAAGAAACAGCTCCCGCAAGTTTTTCGTAAGCGACGCAAAAAGTCGAATGTAACGCGATAAACGCGATTGTATCGCGTGCGTTGCATCGTTGATATTTGTACGTTTTTATAATTCGACAAAATGGCACGCAATTTCTCAATGCCGACGTAAAAGTTATCGCGATCGTGGTTGCCAAAGCAACGAGCGCATAAGCGATTCGGCTTTTCACCCGACAAATAATCGACTGGCTCTTTCGTATTTTTGCGTATTAGCGCAGTCACTTAATCGCGATTTCACATTTAATCAGCTTCGCGTCGGTTTGTATCGTGCGCATAATCGTCTCTGTGTCGATAAAATCGCACATTTATATATAATAACATTAAGCCTTCATAATCAAGAGATCGATTCGTGAACGCGCGCGGCGATTTTAATTGCGATGAGCAGTAACGAGTGAAACTTTAAGCGCGCCATTAATTCGAAAGAATACTACGGTTGTGCAAATTACAATGTGCAAAACATTTGGTCGGTGTTGCGATAACAAACACCATTGCGAAATGCACCGCCTCATGCGGCCGATATCTTGATTAAAATTGGATAACGATGGCCTAGTTCATGGCCTTAATAAACAAACTGAGCTCAGAGATACGAAGGGTCATTCAAAACGTACGTGGCCTGATACAGAAGTAGCACGCGAATTCGATCAAATCTTGATTGCCGTATTTCAGAGCCATATTGTATTGGGTTAAGTATGACAGAGCGGATTAGTCTTCGTTTGACAGTGCGCCAAAGTGACTGTTGCGAGCGATGGATCTCACTTGCGTTTGGTCACACCAGTAACAACTTGAGCTGAAGAGTTTCATTGTATCTCTCGCCTTTCGCGGCATGATTTCGTTCTGTAGGGCTTTTAGCTTCGATGAAACTTGAGCTTTCCACTCCAGAAACAGCCAACAGTCAAAACGTTCACTTTGGCGTCTGACTTTGTGTCTCGCAGAGACTAATCGACAGATTACTCTGTACTGTCATATTTGAGCCAAAGCATGGCTCCGAATTAACGGTAGTAAAGATCAAACCACATGGTTTTTGGACGAGCCACGTATTCCCTGCGCCAACAAAGCGCGTCGGCTCGATAAATCCTCGCCCCGTCTCCTCCTCGATCAGTCGTTGTAATTGCACGTACGATTCCGCCGGCCGACCGACGCGTTTTGTTACACGATAGCGCCGAGGATTCCTGGCGCTATCAAGAACTGGAATTCCATTTCCAGGCCCCGCGGGCGCAACTTTTTCTATTCTCCTGGCCCGGCCTGATTTATCGTCGCCCTTACGCTCACGTGTTCCACGTGCTCTTTCTCCCGGCTCTTCCTCCGGTACACCTTCCTGCGGTACACTCCGCGTGATTGATACGAGGCTGTAGATCGTGGAGGTAAAGGGACGTTCCATAAGCCTCGCATGCGAGCGGAATTCCCGATTTCCCGCTCTCTCCTTCCAGTCGATGTATTCCTGGAGAGTGGCCGAAACGGCGCCGGCATGTTAACCGTCGCCACGTCCCGACCGCAAATTGCAACGGACGCGTGCGCTCCCGAATCATTTCGCCATATTTCTCGCGCGGTTTGCCTCTTCCTTTTCGTTTCTCTCTTTCTCTCTCTCTCTCTCTCTCTCTTTCTCTCTCTTTTTTTGTTGTTGCGTGACACGCAGAAGGAAACGCAGAGAGTCCGCTGCGAGATGACACATTTTTTATTCGCACGTTGATATTCCTCAAGTCGATCGACTACTATTGCGAACATATCAAACATTCTCGCGGTAGAAAGGTTCGCGAACAATATTGCGGAAATGAGTTTTCCGCAAGAAGCGAATTATTCAAAATCTCAGACAGAAAATGCAATTATCGTTCATTAAGACCTCATCAAGAGGTTTACAAGAGCGAATTCTCCATCCGCCGTTATCACGAAAGTTCAGTGCTGAACTTTCGCTGTGCTTTGTGAATCACTTTGTGTTACAACGCGAGTGTGACGCTGCGTAAATGTAGATCTAGGAACGAGTCGGCGACACGCCACCGCGAGATCCCGTCGACAAGCTGAATCGGTAAAAAGACGTGTTCCCGTGATGTTCCAGAGGCTGAAGTGAGATCGCCACGTTTTACCGGGTCCGGCTGGCTGGCTTTTCCTGCCTTAAGGGCCGCTTACAAACACGTGCAATTAGAACTGGAATTTCGGCCCGAAGCGTGGGACGGCGTGCTCCTCTTGGCGGGAGAACGGGACGATCTTCAGGGCGATTTTATGGCTCTGATACTGCACCACGGCTTCATCGAGTTCAGGTACACGCAATGAAACTGCTGCTCGGCATTAACGATCGTGATTCGCGCGTATTACCGATCGATCACGTCGGCGCGATCGTTTATTTATTCACTCGACACCCCGACGGCAAATCCCCGTGAGAGATTCCGCGAGAATCCATTTTTCAAAGACGTATTGTATATAGTCGGCCGATGTGCTCCGAAATAATTTATTATCCTCCTCAGAATTACCATTCGAAAGGGAGGGAGCGTCGTATCGCGTAACGGTGATAAACGAAGCCGACACTTCGAGACAAAAATCGACGAAAGAGGTCAATTAATCTTTCGTAATCTGGCGGACAAGTCAATTCTTCTCCATTTCGACAAATTGACGGTCAGAGCGCGCGCGATCGTCGCGAATGTCGCCGGCAGCCGTGCTTGCAACGAAAGCAGCGCAAACTTCTCAAACGGCATCAAGAGCCTTATCGATTTTTTGTGCCGCGGCGAGCCGTATTGAATATAAAGTTGTACGCGGGACACTTTATAGGACACTTCGGCGCCATAATTTCGGAGACTTCGCCGTGAGTTTGACGCGGCCATTAATTAAACATTCCGTGCCGGGACTAATTTTTCGTTTACAGCTTAATAAGCCGTGACTTAATGGAGCCTCGCGCACGATTTACGAGCGTCGTGCAAAAACTGGAAAGTTTACCTTTTGCTGTATAGCCCGCGATACCCGTTCCACCCTTTTTACGGCGTTTTGCACCATCGCCCGAGCATCGACGGCGAAACTTTTTCGCCGCCAACGACGCCGTAGGATTTATTTTATAACGCACGACGCCAAGTTTCGCCCGCAAGTACGTCGCAAAGTGTTATGCACGCGCAATGACACCTGTAGTATCGCGATATTTGCCTCGCCGATATTACGATTCATCGTAACAGCGACAGTGTGCGCGCGCGAACATTGAATGTCACTTTCCAAGTGATACTTTAATTATCACGTGCGTTATGGAATTTCGCCTCTGCTTCTCGCGCTATTTGATTTCCCCCTCTGTTTGTGTTCGCGGGATGACAAAAAGGAAAGACACGGGAGATGATCTTGTAATCGTAATGAATAAAATAACACCTCTCGTGTTCTCTCTTCATTCGAGATCTAATTTCCTATTATTAAAGCGAAAATGCCAATTCCCGAACGCGTATTATATCCCAGACATTTTTATTGCTTTGCTCTTTAAATACGAACATTTAAACTTTCGAACATGTTTTTTATGTTGAAAGTTTAAATTGCGTTTAAAGTTTAACCCCTTCAGTGGTGTGCCCGGAAAGTTTCGTGGTGAGATATTAAATTCCTTTTGATTTCCTTAAACTGTTGTATTTTTTCTGCTCACAGCAAATTCGGGTAAAATATGTTTTGTATGCTATTTTACAAGAATAGCGTTTCAAAATCCCTTAAAGAAAGTAACAGTTAGGAGAAAAGAAATCTAAATAGGCTTGTTTGTGTGAGAAAATTCTGCCTCGGGGAAGGAATCGCGCGCTGTCATTTCAAATCACCACTACATACAGGAAAAACAACTCAACGTTAGTGTAACTGAATTTTCTGTTACTCGGGGACCAGATGGGAAAGTCGACTGTAGTAACAGAAAGATTCCTGTAAGAGGTTCCTACTCAGCCAATTGCTCTCAGTTATCTCAGCCAAGTTTTAATGCGGCTGAATGTTCAGACGTATGTTTTCGATCACAGTAGGCAGAAATATCGTCTTTTCTCCGTGTGAAAAGGAATATTCGTATTTGAAGAACAAAAGACAATAAGAATAGGGCACGGATATTGGCACTTTTACCTTGCGGATAGTCGCCATATACGCGAATAGAAGAGAGAACGTTTCACATTTCGTCGCCGGCGTTTAGGTGATGATGAAGAAAAAAAAAACGGGGAGAAATTAACGCGTATCCCCGAGAACGCAGCTTCACAATGACCTCTATTCAGATTTAGCAACGAGATTGTAGGACAAAGAAGAGGGGATGCACACAGCGCGACTCCCCCGAATTCATAGACACATTCATCAAACGCGCCATGTAATTTATTCATTGGTACCGCGATGGCCGACCATTGTTCCCCAGATTCGTTTCCACAATTCATTAATCGAACACTAAATGATTAGCCGTGTGGATTTGTTGTCCTATTAGTTGGACACCATTACCGGTGCGCGTTTAAATATTAGCGGATTACTTTCGCGAGATGATGGCGAATGAATTATCGACACACGTCGACGATGATTTCCATATTGATTGCGCGCCATCGGCGAAGGACGCGAGCCGGCCGGCCATTCGCGAGCGAAGCGCGAATAGCCACGATCGATTTTATCCGCCGTCCGTATGCGATATTGAAAAAGAAAAGAGGTGAATTCCGCGGTAAAACGCGACAGCGGCTCCGCGGGTGGAAGGTGATTCGCGGTAGGAATGATCGAAGCGTCGATCCGGCTCTCGCATGCGTCAACCTGGATTTACTGCCTGTGCGCGCGCGCGCGGGCGTTTAGATTCTTCCTCGACTCGTGAATATCCCTTTCCACGAATCTGCCTAGTCGTCATGTGTCCCGGCAAATAAATTCCACGGTGTTCAATAATGTATCGCACGAGAACGTTGATATGAGCCACCGCGTCCTTCCGCGCCGTCGTCGGTGCCGTCGGTGCCGTCGGCGCCGCTCGGCTACGGCTGACATTTCGCGACGTGTAGTATTCCGCCGGATCGATTAACATTGCCCATCGTGCACTTTCCGCGGGTGGTGTGTAGGTTCGATTGCGGCAGTGGTGTGGGCACGGTGAGGAGCACGGAGACGGTGAGGCTGAATGAGTGGAACACCCTGAGTGTCTACAGACATCGATGGGACGCCTGGATCCAGCTGAATCAGGAGAAGAGGGTGGAGGGACGCTCGAAGGTGAGGACACTTCATTTTATTTCCATCAAGGCCAGACTCCCCCGGATATTATTTACCCGTGTACGCGGATTCAATGGGGGCGGAATCGATATTCCGCAGCGAGGCGGGGACGTATTATCGGGATTACCAACGCGCGAGTTTATTCGAATTCTCGAGATTCTACGGCGACATCCTCGCCCTTCCCTCTTTGCTCTTCCTCCTCTTTCTCCTACTCCTCCTTCTCCTCTTCCTTCTGCTGCTACTGCTGCTCTGCTCGCGCTCGTCTCCCCCGAGACACTTCCGGTCTGGAGTTTTATGTAACGGCGCAATGAGAAATCGTACTCAATTGATCGCGATAGCGGTGATTCGTAGCCGCTCTCGCGCCGGGTAAATAAACCGTTTCTTTTCGTGAAGCCGGAAGCTCCGTCTTAAGCGGGCTACCGGTTGTTACGGATGCTTCCTTCTCTTCCGTTTTCCTTTTCTCCTCGTCGTTGTGAAATTTTTTTCGCGATACACATCGCTCCGCCGCGGCGGAACGCTCCGTCGTGTAACAAGGACGGTAAATACTTCGTTGCTCATTAATACCCACGGCCGACTGCAGTAAAATAAAATTGTTTCCATTCGGTGAAATCCACTCGCGAAAAGTTTAATGACGCCGAGGTGGAACCTGGCATTAAACGCTGTTGTATCTTACGGAAACTTCCCGGAAACTTTAATGAGAGAATGTAGCACGGAAATTGAAGAAACGTTCTTACATCTCGGAACTTTTTTCCGGGGTATTCCACGCGGGACCGGCGCAGAAATTTTGACCCCTTTTCCCTTCCTCCTTTTTCTGCTTTCATTTTTCTCCCATTCCTTTTTGTTTTGCTTACCCAACACTGAAACTTGGTTGCGGTTTACACCGATACGCCAGGGTGAAACAGACTATGCCACGTTACCGCGCAGCAAAACTTCGGATTTCTTGAAAATTCTCATTTCGCTTTAGTCGCATTAGAAACTGCAGAACACCTTCGTAAGAAATCCTTCATGGCTCGCACCCAGCAGACACACATCTACACGCATACACACATACACACACACACAGAAATACCGCGGGAAATAAGATATCGAAAGCACACGTTTGAAGGTATTGCAAATTACCGCTCTAACGCGATAACTTTTTTCAGCACAGCTTTTCCGAAATAGTATATTCGCAGGCGTGCAAACTTCTGTTACTAAATAATATTTTCGTCTCTGCGAAAACGAGAAAGCATTGCGCGACGTCACCTGTCAATTTACTTTTACCCGCACGGTGCATATGCAGAAAAGAAACGATTCGTTTTCCCGATTTCCGCGAAAAGCGATGGAGGAACTTTTGCGAAGGACGCGCGTAGAGGCAGACGTAGCGTCAGACGCGCGGATGAGACATGGCCCGCATAAAAGCAGTCACGAGATAAAATGGGGGTTGCCGCAAAATTTCGCGAGGATCACGCGCGATAGCGGAGGGACGTAAGAAGCTCGGAAACGGACGTCCGACACATCGAGACAGATGGCGAGGGGTTTAAAAGCGGGGAACCACACCCTAGCGCGAGGCCGCGCCTGCACGAGTAATCAGGAAAAAGCGCCGTTGCCCATAAAACTCGTCTGAATAAGGCGGTTCCGGCCATGTAATCGTTACGATCGATTCCGTTCTTTCCCATATTAATCCGCGTTCCGATCGATCGCGGCCCCTCGCTCGCTCGCTCGCTAATGAAACAGCACGACGCGAAAACCGCGCGACAAACAGCACCCAGATTCGTCAGGGTGCGTTTGAATAGCTATTGAGTCGGAATGGAAACACCCCGATCACGCAGTGATTGTGTCAATGTGACGGTAATGATCGATCGAGGATGAAAAAGTGCGTTTCAAAAAAGTATACTGTGGTAATCAGTAAGAAAAAAGAGTGAGGCAAATAAGAACCAAACGCTGAATGTTAAGGCAGAATTAATAATTTAATTTAATATCAATATAATACATGAGATTTCAATTAAATTACAGCATTTCAAACGTTTCGGTCCACAATTTGGACCTTTTTCAGTAATGTTAACAAGATAGATTTAAGCAAAATTAAGCGCAATTTAAATTATTACATCACCAAATGTTGTTTAAAAAACGTATGAAAAATTTTTATAAGTTTTTAAGTGACATTTGGCGATGTGTTAATTTAAATTGCGCATAATTTTAATGAAAATTTTTCATAATTTTTTTAAGCGACATTTGGCGATATGTTTATTTAAATTGCGTTTAACTTTAATGAAAATTTGTCAAGTTTTTTAAGCGACATTTGATGATGTGTTAATTTAAATTGCGCTTAATTTTACTTAAACTTATTTTGTTAACATCACTGAAGAAGGTTCAAATTGTGGACGAAAACACTTAAAATGTAATTTAATTGAAATCCCATGTATATTATATTGGTATTAAATAATTTGTTAATTCCGCCTTAACGTTTGGCGTTTGGCTCTTACTTGCCTCATTCTTTTTTCTTAGTGATTATATATCGCAAGAGCCTTTATCTTTATTAGTTATTGTACTTTGGTAGTTTTGCATTCGAAGTATAAGGCGAAGTACAACGATTTTCGGACTAATTTTGGACATCCTTATTGTTTTGGTCCTTGAATACGAATAATTTAGTTTTCAATAGAATACATATTGATGTATGTACATATACTTTTTGTTGAAAGTTTAAACCTTTTAAGTAATTAAGCCATTAATAAAATTGGGAGCTCACCAAACTTGACTATCAGAATTGATAGTTAATACTGACAGATTCGTCCAATAATGATGTTATAAATTATTATTATTATTAACGATTATTATTTGTATTATTATTATTATTTACTATTACACACACACACACACATACACACACACATATATATATATATTTAGTATTCTTAATTATATTATGAATTATAACATTATTGTGCGCAAATCCCCCGGTAATGCTTCGCAATTTTGACAATTTGGTGAGCTTCCAACTTCATTGTGCCCGAACCATTTTGCAATTCGCTGTACATCCCGATATTTGAGCGTGACTGCAGAAGCCGAATTAGTCGCGCTTCCGATTCGCGCCCTTAAACCTCGGGAAATCGCGCTTAATTAACGGCCGGCGATTTAATTCGCGATACAGCAGCAGAGGCGGCGCGCCGCGGAGCGAAGCGAGGCGAGGCGAGGCGAGGTGGGCAACTCCTTTCCGATGCAAACAGCGAGATGGTGTTCTTTGACGCATCTCGGTTGTCGCCGTCGTTTTGCCAGCGAATACACGGATCTTATTGTTAACCAACGCCCCGCTTCCCCGTGCTTTAATCGTATTCGACGCTTGTTGCGCACTTCGCGCGGTCTTCTCATTTTCTCTCTCTTTCTCTGTCGCTCTCGTTCTCGTCCTCCGTCCTCCGTGCCCTTGTTTCCTCGTTTTTCTTGTCTCCCTTTCTTTCTTTCTTAATTCGCTTCGCATCGCTTCCTCGTGATACTGCGACGACCGTCCGCCTTGTTACGTTGCAAATGAGATGCGGGCCGGGCGATCAGAAGTGTAAGCGAGACTTTTGGAACCTCTTTACGCTGATGGCCGCGGGATAATCTTTCGGGGACACTTGCAGCGGATTGGATTACTAATTTTCGTACTTTACAGCTATAAAGCTCTCGAGCGCGCGACGGCTCTTCGCGCTTCTCTTCTTGCCTAATAACGCGACTGCGTTATTGCCGCGCGAGTCGAGCGCGATGTAATTTTGACGGGATCAATCGATGGGAGACGAGAGAGAGAGAGAGAGAGAGAGAGAGAGAGAGAGAGAGAGAGAGAGAGAGAGACTCCCTCGTTCCGCACGATTTCCCACTTTCCCCGGCATCACATTCAGCTTTTGTCGCTTGCGCTTGGTATATTGCTTCTCGAGCGAGAGCTGGACGAGAGTTCGCGAGCGCCGCGAACATGAGAAGTTGACATCGTTCGTTTCTATCGTCCTCCCCGACTGCATCCGCTGACTTACGAGGCGCACGGCCGCGTCGTAATGATCGCCGTGACCTCGTATTTCATTAGCGCTAATCCGCACCGGGCTATACATCCGTAATCGCGTGCAATCCCCTTGCAGTCGCTCTGTGCGGTTTATAAATAGAGAAGCGCGACTCTAATCGAGCGAGACGAGCATCGCGAGGACACAGAATATCGAGGGAGCAAGTACCACGTCGATAAATGTCCTATCCACTTTTTTCCCGCCGGTCCTCCTCCTTCCTCAACGAGCCTCTCGGGCGTCCGGGATAGCGGTATGATAACGAGAAATTATCGGCTGCTTCTCGGCCCATCTGTTTTTCCCAGGCTAGGTTTAATTACCTTTAAAATCAGGCAGCATCGCCGGCAAATGGCTTCGCGTTTCAAGTCCACTTTATCCTAGAGTGGCATTAAGCACTCGGTGTCCTAGCGACAGCGTCGTAATTAGAGGAGCCACCTTTCTCTCTCTCTCTCTCTCTCTCTCTCTCTCTCTCTCTCTCTCTCTGTTGTCTTCCTTTTCCCTGCGCCACCTTTCTCCTTCTCTCTTTCCATCGTTTTACAATTTCTTTTTTCTCATCTCGCATTCTCCCTTCGCTTCGGCAGAAGGGAGCGGAAAACTAGAGCGCAGCTTGTTGCCAAAGCCTTCGGAATCGCTCGCTCGCGATCGTCTCCTCCGATTCCGGAGAATTCCTGAGAATGGAATTCAAGAAACGACGACGATGGCTTATGACTGCACGAGACATATGCGAACTCGCGCGCATACTCGAATACAAAATGCACGATAAAACGGCGATATTGGCTGACAATGAGTATATAGTTTGCCGTCCGAGATATAGAATGCGGGGATATAGAATGCAGCAGGCATGCGAAAATAATGCGAGAATAACGCGGGCCTCAGGCGCAGATGCGAAAGAATTTCCCCGTACGTCAACGTCGACGTCAACGTCGTCGTCGTCGCGCTTGCTTCGCGATATCCGCTGTAACCGGTAAGCCGAGCAGATTTCGATCTTTCATTCATCCGTGTGTTAGGCTGCAGGGACTGCGACTCCCTCGCCGGATCAGCATAATCCTTTACGTAATTCCTTCCTATTGTTCGGCGGCGCGGAACGAGTATGACGTAGTACGCGGATCTTGCGACGAGCTCGCGCGAAGGGTGAGTCGCGCGAAGGCGGGGATATATGCGAATTCTCTCTCCCAGTGGCCGTAAAAGGGTTGAAACATTTTGCGGAAATACATTTTTCACGCGCACACACATAGAGCGCGCGCGAAGATCCGCGCTAGACCCGGCCATCCCGGAAATATACAAAGGAACGGGGAAGTAGCTGACGTTGTGCGCTTGTACGCCGAGCGGAATAATTTCATGCATTAATCAGGCGGCCGCAATTGCGCCGATCCCGCCGCGTTGCGCCGCTACGTACGTGTAACTGGAGAATTCCGGCTTCAATTGCAGGGCTTGTTCTCGAGGATTACGTTCCGTGAGCCGCTCTTCGTCGGCGGGCCCGGAAACACGACCGGTTTGGAGCGACTTCCGGTGAGGACCGGATTTAAGGGCTGCATCCGGCATTTGGAGGCGAACGAGCACCACTATCGCTTCCCGCTGGCCCCGCAGGGCGACGCCGCGAACGGATTCGATGTCGGTGAGTACAGCTTTGTGTGGTACAACATCCCCTTCTGCCTCCGTTCTCTTCGACGGGCTCGCAACTCGGGCGAGAGATGCTCTAATCGTGTGAGATTCGTTGATCCGTCGCTTGCCGAACACACATCGGTCACGGCGGCTACGGTGGACGGGTAACTTTTGAACGGTTTGAAATTCTTTCAATCCGAACGCTCTGGGGGTCTCGGCAAGTTCCTCTCGAAGAAGTGGGACGAGCCGGCTGATAACAGCAAAGGGAAGGCACTTTAGCTCGAATTTCCACATATTCGCTCAATTCTTCCGTATTTCCATGAAATTACGTCACGTTACCTTTGACCTACATAAGAAAATCTTTTTGAAAACGGTTTCTATACGCGCAATCACATCCAGTAATCGATAATTGACGAAAGTCAACCCCGTCTGCACGCAAGCGAGTCCAGCAGTCGGGAAATTAACAATCCCAGATCGCAATTGCGCAATTGATGCTTCGGCATTCCCTTTCATCGCGCGGCACAGATGATAACAGTTGCGTCGATGAAACGAGAAGTATTTCGTCGCGACGTCGCTCACGCGGTCGAGACGTCCAGTTTTCGCGAATTCAGTTTACACGGGAGTCAGAGGAGAAAATTGTGGCACAGTAAAACGCGCGACATACACGGGGAAGAAGGCCGGCTCGGACTAAACAGATGCCTACGAGCCGGAATCTCCGTTGCAGTTACCAGAATTCTGTTCAGATTAACAAGACTCCGGACAAGATTTTTGTTCAAGTTGAGTTCAAGTCGCGCAAGTTCTGCTCTGCCAGAAATCTCCGTGAACTTGAACACAGAATTCTACCAACTCCAGCCGGAATTTCCGGTTCGTTCGTATTTCACCAGACATTTGGTTAATCCAACCGAATGCCTTTTTCCGTGCACAGTCTCTCCTGGATTTAATACGCAATTTGTTCGCGACGAGGCAATTCAGTTAATTACGATTATATCATCCGACGAGTTAAGCGCGGAGGGGCGCGCTCTTGTGACGCCAAGAGAGGAGATACTTAGGAAATCCGTTTGCCGCCACCGGTGCCGTCGTGGCGGAAAAAAAAAGACGAAGAATATATTCGGAGTTAAATCGAGCGGGCATCGGAGGATTTGCCGACTAAATTCATGTGACACCTGTTGTGTCCGTTTGCCGATATAGCTGTTAATTCGGTCACCCGGTAGCGCCCGGCCGCACTCTGACCGACCGGTGTCGTTGCTGTAAGGCAGCCAATTAGGACTTCGCGGTTATTAATTGTCCGGCATATTTCAGCACCGCCTCCGCCGTCGGCTTTACAATCGTCGCACGGCATTAACGATAATAATCATTCGCCCACGTGAGCCGCATTATTTATTCCGCCGGTGACGCGCCAATAAACGCCGGTCTTTCCTTGCTTGTCCCACTTGCAACAACAAATGGCACTCGTCGTGAGCAGAATTCGCGCGTCGGATCGGCGCGCGCGTGTCCGCGTTCCGCAAATCGTCCGAAAACTCGTAACTTACGTCTTGCGTTACGAGTTCAGATCGAAACGCCGCTCATACGATACAGCTTGTCACGTTTCCGCCGAATTATTCGATAACAGCGCACTCTTGAATTCAGAATCGATACCTTTTTCATCGCGAATGTCAGTAGAACGGAACAGAATAGAATACTGATTTATTATGCTCTCAACGCACAGAAAAATACATACTGCCTTCGAGTGAACGTTACTCGTCTTGACTATTTCATACGTTTATCTGCAAATCTATCATAAGTTTATCGCACGCATCAGATTTATTCAAAACACACTCTGAATTCTTTTAAGTAAGTTCAGCATCTCTCTCTCTCTCTCTCTCTCTCTCTCTCTCTCTCTCTCTCTCTCAATTAAGAATATTTAAATTGAAATAAAAATTCTCTCGCGGCTTACTCGTTACACAGGATCAAACGAACTTTTTCTTCGAAAGTTTTAGAATATTCTTGTAAAGGAAATCAACTTCTCTTCTGAGTACGTAACGACGAGCTTTCCTGAAATTGGCGGTGAATATATTTTAAGGCTATCTCAACAAGAAAATATTCTCTGTCGAAGGTAACCACAAAAAGGAAAGTAACCACAAAAGAAGGAAAGTAAACAGTAATCTCAGCGGACAGAATGATATTTTTCTGTGTTTAGGTCAATCTTCATTTTTTAGGGCAATCTTCATTTTTTAGGGCTTTGCTCACGTCTGCGCGACGAAAGATAGTCGCGTAAAACATATTTAAATCACTCGATTGTGATTACACTCGCAAGAGAGTTCCGATGTTTTTCTTTTTTTATGTACGAGTTGCGCGGGTCTCATCGGGTAAGTGGCAAGATCTCGCCAACTGTTGACAGACACTTGAAAGCAACAGACATTAATTATTCCTACAAAACGATACGATCACACGGCGCTTTTACTCGGCTCGACGAGGAGTGAAGGGATCCTCACGACAGATCATGTGTGACGGGCAAGACGGTAGCTATCGCGAGTAATTATCGTCGTTATCGTTCCCAGAGTGTCGGTAATTAATTGTCAACATTTGGGGGAAGTCGTTTAGGTCCGGCTGTGCAACAGCTGCTACTTGTGTGTGTGTATGTGTGTGTGTGTGTGTGTGTGTGCGCGTGCGCTCGCTTGTGTGTATACGAGTGCATACACGTATGCGGCATTAATTACCAGTTGAGTAATGAACGTCTGTCTCGTATTTATATCACTAGGCAGCGGCGAGCAAATGTTATCTCTGTTTTGCAACATCGAGAGCGCCATTGTTCGCAGCGTACGCGAGTACGCCGTAATTTTGATATTTATTGCCGGTCATACACGCAATAACCAATTGCGCGCGAGTGCGAGACGATATTAATGGTAAACATTTGTGCACTAATGGACCATGTGAATAATGGCGGAACGAACGCTCTTAGTCGAAGCTTGCTGCGCGCGCGTTTTGTATAAACCTCCTCTCCGTCCGTCGAGATGGAGTTTCCTTCGGGAAAGGGGACGGGAAAGAAGGGGGAGCGGACGGAGGAGAGATCGAGCGAAAAATTTTCGCTTGAGAGAAATAACGAGCGAATCCGCACTCGACGTAGCGTGATCGACATTGCGGCAGAAGTGCGATAGAAGAGCATAATCAGCTGCGTGTGGCTGGTGGTATCTCTTCATGCGTAGAGAGCGCGCTCTTTATCGAAGTGCGGTATTAATTAACAAGAACTAATCGATAGCTATCGAAGCATCATTATGCAGATTCGCAAAATATCGTGCGCGCGCCCGAGACTGCCGAGGTGAATATTTAATTAATATTTGTCCCGTGGACTTTTTGTCCTTTTTGCGTCTCGTACATAACGCGCCCTCACGATCGATCGGCACTTTATTAGCGCGCGTATATCCCGCGCGATTCGCGACGAGGCGCGGCGCGGCGCGACGAAGAAAAGGAAGCCGACGAGAAAAGGTACAATCGGTGTCGCTCGATTCCCAGGTTCGCAAGTTCAACGAACGTCGCGTTCGGCGCCGTCGGCGCGACGACGGTGTACAACATAGCACGGTTTCATCAATATCCGGAGTGTCAATTAACAACGAGAAATTATGCCATCAATTATTATACATATTATTTCACCCGATATGTGTTATTTTCGCCCGTGGTCGACTCGAATCGATTTGTCACGCTAGATAGGTGGGTAGGTATCAGTCATGAAGATGTATGAGTGGCGGGGGGTTTGGAGGACGGGAGGAGGCCTTCGAATCGAAAGTTACGCGTTACTCTTCGATTCCGTCTACGTTCGCCGTGCACAGAGAGACTCTGGAAAGATAACACCCGTTAGATTGGAAAACTTCGACCCGGGGAGTTCGACTACTTGGGCACATTTCGCGGCGGGGAGTAAAAATCGTCCTGGGCTCGTTCATTGTGTATTACGCGATCAATATCTCTCTCTCTCTCTCTCTCTCTCTCTCTCTCTCTGTCTCTTTCTGAATCCTTTTTTTAGTCCGCAGCATTCGCGAGCTCTTCCTCCTCTCTCTCTTTTCTTTTTGCTTTTTGCTATTTGCACCAAGTGCGACAGCACGGCGCGAACACGAAAACCATATGATATATTAAATATATACGTCAGCAGGCGATATCATCGGAAAAGAGGATAAGGGGTAGGAATCGCGTATTTCCGGCCAGTTGTCCCAGTAGCACGTCGCGGAGCTCAACGTCGAGACCGATATATAGAGAGCGAGAGACAGAAGGGAGGAGAGAGGAAGAGAGAGAGAGGGGGGGAAAGGAGGAAGAGAGAACATCGACGTCGCGCAAAAAATTCGCCGTCAATGCTCGCGCTCGCGCTAAATGATATCGTCGAAAATACGATGAGGTGGAAGAGATTGATACTCCGCTGCCCCGATAAATCGACGAGGAGAGGACCTGTCGAGGCGCGAGCGGTTTTATCGGTTTTATCTGGCGCACAGTTGAGTCAACTCGAGTCGCGTAGAGTCGAGTCGAGTCGGCCTCGATCCTACTCCCGGCTCGCGTGTAATTCTCTCGATTTCGCGGGCCGCCGGAACTTTTATTAAATCGCCTGATTTATTGTCGTTCCAGAGGAGTGCACGGCCGACAGGTGCAGCAAGGTGCCGTGTTCCCACGGTGGAAAATGCCTGACAACCGGAGGCGACACGGCTGTCTGTCTCTGCCCACTCGGCTACACGGGCGATCTTTGCGAGACCCGGGTGGACCTGCAGGTAGGCAATCGAATCGATCCCGTAGGAATTATAAGCACGAGCGCGACACACGACGGCGCAGTCCGTTCGCGAAATGTCTCGGCCGATCGAGCGAGCGGCCGGCCGAACTTTGGCGGCGGCCGATCGAACCGTCGGAACTTTTTCGCCCGAGAATCGAATCTGTCGCTCTCGCGACCTCAACTTCGGCTGATTATACCACACGCAAGGCGCTCTTAAGATGTTCGACCGAACTTTGCCGGCGTATGCTAAATTATTTGTGCGGAAGTCGATTTTTCGGGAGGTTAAGTTGCGAAATTGAACGACGGCAGTTGGTGGGAGAGGGTGAGAGAAAAATATCGGAAACCGAGGTCGAAAAGGAGACAAGCTCTCGTTATATTATCCTACAAATTGGAAGAAATCGCATTTAGATCACTCAAAAAATGTAATCTCGTTCTTAGAGAAATTCTCTTATATAAGGTCTCAAGAGGATTCTTTAAAAGCCAAAAGAAAAATATCCTGATACTTGAAAGAAGAATTTTAGTTACAATTTCCTGTAATCCTATATTCAAAGCAAAAACTTTAATCGAAAGAGTATTTCTCTTCTAATGAAGTGAATTATTAATCGAAAATTTACTAGATATTACTTGCTATATTATTCTGACTTTTTTCCCTTTAAATCAAGAGAAATTTGTTTACTTGAAACAGAATGCTCTCTTACTAGAAATTTCTATTCAAAACATGACTTCCACTGTAGATAAAGGACGAAGTTTCTGTAACTTCAAGAATGTTGTGTTTAGGATATTTTTCTTTTATTTTTTTTTTTTAATTCTTAGAAGAATTTTGAAGTGATATGTAAGATGATCTCACTAAAGATGATATTATATTCTCTTAGATAATACACTTCTTTGTGAAGAAATCTATAATTGCATAAATGGATATATAATTCAGTCAGAAAGCCAGAACATTTCGTGAAATATTCTAAGCCGTGCGATTAAATCTACATATTCAAATTCCAAATTCGCTTACAAACTCGCGCAAGTTCATCAATCGGCAATATTGGAGTAATGAATAATCTAACGCGGTAATCTGACGAATCCGGTTATGCTTGCTGTCCCGTCGCTATTAAGCGTTAACATAGCTCTTCATATATTTATATCTCTTCAAATATAATTACAAACAAGTATTCGTGAGACCACATTAGGAATTCGGGGCAAAAGTGTATTGAATCCATTATTCGTGATGTTCACTTTGAGCACGAAGAGCTGTATATAAGCTTCGTAAATTATGGACCCCCTGCGCTTTTTCGCTAAGCTCTTTACGCAGTCGTGAGAGGAATCTTAAAATTATAAATAAGATAACGGCCCCGCGCACGCCCACGTGCATTTCAGGACGCGTATACGTTCGTGTCGGACAAAGCGTGTAAACGAATGTGGGCCGGGATATCTTTGGAAAGATTTCAAAAACGATCATCTCGAAGAAATTCTCTCACCAATGCAGCTGTTCCCTCGAATGACGCGACTTTATCTTATTAATATCATTAATATCCGTGTTGATAAATACTATACGGAAAAAAAAATCTGGTACTACAACTAAACATAATTTGCTGTATTAGCCACTTTTTCTTTGCTGTAAGAACCAATTTCTTTGCTATGATAACAAGAAAATCTGCTCCTGCAACAAAAAAGTAATTCAAGCAATAAATTATGTTGTATATTATATCTGTAGCAAATTTGCTACGTTAGCAACTTGCTGTACAAGCAGATTTTCTTGTTATCATAGTAAGAAAATAGGTTCCTGCAGCAAAGAAAAAGTAGCTAACACAGCGAATTATATTTAACTGTCCATATGTAGCAAATTAGTTTGCTGCTGCAGCAAATTATTTTTTTCTGTGTGACGTAAAAAAAAGACGTTTCTCTCTTTCTCTCTCTCACAGATACCTCATTTTCCTTCCGCAATAACGCGATTTTCGATATTGTTGAGAAGTTACGTCAATAATTCGGTCACGCCGCGCGCGCACTGCTCGCGAGATCAAAGTTGGGGAATCCCGTTAATAAAGACACCCAGTCGAGACTGCCGGCTCCAGCTTAAACTTCGCGATACTTCTTCCAGTGCTCGCTTTTTTTCTTTTGGCGTTCTTTTGAGACGAAAAAGGTGCGCCATCAGAATACACAACAAAGCCAATTTACGAAATATTCCTCCGCTCTCATGGGCGCGATTCCACGGGGATGAACGAGATACGGCGGTCTCTCTCCCCTCGCGCGGTCGAAAGGTATCTATTTTCAGGGGAATGATACACGCCGCGAGAAACACATCGATCCAAATTCCATATCCCGGCGCCACGCGCGCGTCCCGCTGCCAAACTGCAGAATTGATCTTTCGACAACTTTCGTGACCCGAGCGTGAACGCGCGCGCACTCACGAATACGATCCGGAGTTTCGCGGCTGGACAACGCGAAACCGCGGCGAGTAGAGCCCGTGCAAAAATTGAACGACGAAAGTGACAGTCACGCTGTTTTTTCATTCCGAGCGGCAGTTTTCCACCTGCTAAAGAGCTTTTTCGGTTAACTTTTGACCCAACTGTGACGTGCACGCGCGCGTTTGCGCGCAAAGTTCTACTTTTTTTCTTTCTTTCTCCCAGCACTTTCGGCTAAGCAGTCTATCAACCGCAGACGTGGACGGGGAGAGTTTTCGCACGGAAGTGCACGTGTCGTGTCGTTCATGTATACGTGTGTATGTGTGTGTGTATGTACTACGTGTAACTCGGAATACGCGACTGTCGAGCGCAATTTATAGATCGTCCCTCACTCTCTCGCTGGATGCACGGCTGGTACCGTGCCCATAACGAGGCCAGACTTGCTTGCAGACATCAAACATGCTAACATCGTATCAGATGCGACGTTGTTGCGTTATGCTGTCTCATTACCGTGCCCGCTTGATTGTAAGTTGATCCACTAGTGACGCGGATCGAACAAGCTTAACTCGCCCGTCGACCCGTCACTTCCTAAATTAGACTCCTGTCTATCTTGAACAAAGACGAATCTCCCACTTCTCTCAAAATTGAATGACCCTGCTTGTCCTTTTTATCTCCTTTTTTCTCATTGCCAGAAGTTATGTAAAAGTACCAATGCGTCTAGACACGTAGTCAACCCTGGATATTTTTATTGTTCTGGTCTTTAAATGTGAATATGTAAACTTTCGACATAGATTATTAGTTTTCTTTCCCATATAAATTTGTTTTAATTTTCTAGTAGTACAGAAATAAACTGTTGATAAGATTTATTTTGCTAAGGAATATCGTAAATTTTGCTAGAAATATACACGGAAAAGAATAGAAAGACATGGTGCACGTAAGAAAAAATATCTAGTTGTGAGTAACACGGTTGTTGCATTACTCTAATTATTTTTGCCTGATGGTAATACGTATGCTTCATATGACTCAGTTACTTTAGTACATCGACTACATCAATGTAGTTGCGTGAAATTTGGTTGTGGCGATCAGAAATCGGTTGGGGCGCTCACCATAAATACACTCTGAGTAATCAGATATCGCTACTATAACACAGCAATTACTCTGTGGTTGCATCAGCCACATAATTAGTTGCTCCGTATTTTACTATTAATCCGATCGACACAACCAGATTTATGTATGGGTTAACTGTTTTCCAGTGTATAGTAAATTATTCAATAGCACAATTTAGTTCCTAAAATGTAAATAGCGCACACGTGAAATGAAAAAGTAATAAAAATTGGCAAAATGTCGATATATTTTTCATTTGCAACATTTTACTTTATAGTAATGTTTATTGTAAAAGTCTCTTTTTATATTCAATATATGTAAATATATTCCGTGTTGAAAGTTTACATATTCGTATTTAGAGACCAAAGCAATAAGAATGTCCAGAGTCAGGTGTCCACATATTGATGCTTCATATCCGTAATCCTTTTCCAGTTCGGCGGAGAGTATAAAGTTGCTCGCATTCAATTCGTAACATTACAAATCGCGGAATTTTTACTTGTTTATTTATACATATATTTCACACGATTTTTTCTCAGGGAGCTTACACGCGGCAATACCAACTGCGAGTATTATTCGTTACCCGCGACGCGCGCATGTTGGGATAAACAGCGTGTACGTATCAACACTTGCACACTGTTATAATTAATTCAGGATTTTCGGTGTGTGTCATTACCACAGCGCGCACAATACCACCGGTAGCGAGATTCTACATCGACTCGATATTAAAAACGGCCGCTGAATATGCATTATTCCGCCGGCGCCGCTGCTGCTACCGTCGCCGATACCGCGGACTCATTGTCGCGAAATGCGACACGGTGTACGAGAATCGATCGTGTCGTCGACCGCCTCGTAAATGACGCGTTTATCCGCGCAATAAGCGCGGCCAGCTACGAGTAATTAACACCCGCGCCGCTAACGAGGCGGCTTAAACGCGTAGACAGGCGTAATTCGCGCTCACGTGTGTGCGCGCTCGCGCGAGTACTTTTTCAAATCGGCCCTCGCGTTTCGAGATTCTCATACGATTTGCGCATCGACAGACCCGACTTTAATGGAGCGAGCCGCTTTCGCCGGAAGTCACCGTATGCGGTTTCCTCCGTATGCATGCGTGTGTATGTGTATGTGTGCGCGCGCGTACAGTTACCCCGTGGATTATGCACAGTTATACGATATCGATTATGACAAGGGGTGAGCGGAGAGAAGGGGCTCGGGACAGGAGAGAGGAAAGAGGAGAGAACGAGATGCGGACCGACGCGGTGAAATTGGTATCGGCATTCAACCGATATTACTTCCGGCGCGACTCAAAATGACAGCGAGTGCCGGGCTATAAAGATGCGTTCTCGCATGCATCAGTGACGGCTCAGCGCGACGTCGGTACTTTGCTTTTCGGTAGCATTGGCAGTTATGCTCTGGCTGATCCGCCAGTTGGAACGTTTCCAGCGTTATGGACGCGACGATATTTGCAAATTGAAAATTGCGCTCGGACGTGTTTGTGTACGTGTTCGTG